CATCACCACTTTGTCTCTTCTCTTCATGGTGTCCTGATAAATCTTTGCTTTCTCCTGAAACAGAATGGGGTTTAAGGGGCTGAAGGTGAAGCTCAGTGGTAGAGCATGTGGGTGGCCTGTGCAAGGCTCTAGGTTCACCATGAGCACCACAGAACAAAAGAGTGAACCTGGTGCTGGTGGTTCATGCCTGTAAATCCCAGCTACTTGGAAGGCTGTGATCAGGAGGATTGAGGTTCAAGACCAGCCTGGACAAATAGTTCATGAGAACCCATCTCCAAAAAAACCAGAGCAAAGTGGACTAGAGGTGTGGCTCAAGCAGCAGAGTGCCTGTTTTGCGAGGGCAAAGCCCTGAGTTCAAACTCCAAAACAAAAGTCTTCATAAAGTTGATGTAATAAAACATTCACGTAATATAACAAAAACCCAGGGCCTTTATTCATACAGCTGGAGACTGCAAATGCCCAAAATCCACGGACAGGTGAAAGGGTAAACTAGTACAATCACACATGCAGCAGCACTGTGTAACCAAAAAGAACAAACCACTGACACACCGCTTAAAGTTAGTAAGAGAGCTGGTGGAGTGGCTCAAGTGGTTGAGAGCCTGCTTAGCGGCTGTAAGTTCAAACCCCAGTACCACCCAACCAACCAACAAACAAATAAACAAAAACGTTAAGAGATACAGCATCCTGGCACAGAGAGTGTCACCACATGGCTGCAGAGTAAAACCACCCTTGGACAGACCTACCCAGGGCATGGGGAAGGTTCCGGGGTGTGGCTCTATTCCGTATCTTGAGCTGGGCGATGCTTACACAGGTGCACAGTTATCAAAACTCATCGAACTGTGCTCTTAAATACGGGGATCTTATTGCAGGAAAATTAGACTTCATAAAGCTGCTCTTTAAAAACCATGCTTTACAAGAGTACTCTGTAACATGGAGACTATTCTACAGCATATTCCCCAGCTTTTCTTTCATGCACATTTACATATGGCGAAATACCAAGTATTTAATCATTTGGTAAGTGTTAAGACTAAGAGTGGCTTTTTTTTTTTGTTTTCCACATTTTATTTTTTTTTTTTTTAGTGCTGGTGATCCAGCCCAGGGCCTGCTGCATGCCAGGCAAGCTCTCTACCACTGAGTTCTCCATTCCATTTTCAGCCCCGTGATTTTTGTAAGCAGAAAAACAAATTTTTTTTTAAGTATCTTAAGTGTATTTCACAGGCACTGGTGTGGTGTGCTGGGGACACACTACAAGACAGCAGTGACCTGCCCAGGAGCTCCAGGCCAGCTTTGAGGCTCCCAGATGGGGGCTGGTAGAAGGCAGGGGAGGGTCTTCCCACAAAGGTGGAGCCTGGACAGTGACCCCCACACCTCCCTTGAACCCCTCGACACACAAACTGAGGTGCAAACCTACTAGTCCCCACTCTAAAAGAAAAGCAGTCTATTTCAATGTCGTTTTCTGCAGCTGGGGGAGCAGCCCAGCCATCATTTCAGTTAGCTTCAAGTTCAACTAGTGACCCACACTGAGAAGCTGCCCCTTTCCCCTTGGGTTTCCTGTTTTCAGTCTGCCCTACTTCCGACCAACCGGGCTGTGGCTCAGAGGAGTACTTGCTGGCTCAGCTTCCTGTGGCACAGAACCCCCAGGGCCAGAAACTCCACCCTCCCACCCTAGTATCTGGTCCTAACTTCTGTTGCTGGGCACTTGACCACTCTCCTAGCATGGTGATCCCGCCACAGGGAAACTATGTGCCTGGGTTCAGAGGCCTCCCTGCTGTGCACCATGTGCCCCAGAGCAAGCAATTCACAGCTTCCAGTTTTCATGTCTGAAGGCAGGAGGAAATGAAGGAGCAGATGAAATAATCCAGTGGCCTGTCACCAGCTCTGAGCACAGTGGCTCTCCTGTCCCTGGAGTTGCAGGACTATCTTCTGCCTCCTCTCACGCCTCCTCCTAACACCTGTTTTTGCACACTTCTCACCCTCTGATTGCTCCCCACCCAGGCAATCCAGGTATACACAAGTACCTGGGGAGCGGCAGGGCCTGGAAGTGCAGCTGGCCAACTGAATTAAATATCCAGTGAACCAATCAGAGTCTATTCTACTGACCCCACCACCAACAGGGAGCACACCCTGACCTAACTTGCACCTGATGCCTTTTGGGGGCTGCAAAGTCAGGAGAGAAAACAGATGGTGCACTGTGCCCGGACCCACTCTTTCTGAACTTGGTTTTGTTTTTACATGAGTTGGAGTGAGCAGGCTGCTTACAGAGGCAGCCCACCAGCCCAGATCAGGCAGTCAGGGCCCCACAACCAGGGCCTGACAGCCCAGCTTTCTCTGGGAAGGACAGATCTCTTGGCACGCCAGTCGGATTGCTCCACACCAACCTACGCAGAGGCGCCTGCATGCTTAGTAGGACTGAAGCAATAACCACTCCCGGAAAGAGCAGGGCAGCTGTGGAAGCACTGGCCAACAAAAACAAGCAGACTAAAAGTAGACGCTACCACTACACCAAACCCAGAATTTGGGGACCAGAAACCATAATAGTTGCTGGCTGAGCATGCCAACACTGACAACAGGCAATGAGTGATGCCCCACTCACACATCCCCTCTGGATGGGGTCTCTCCACATCCACACGGCCTCCCAGACCTGAAGGAACCATGCTGCCCAGGGGTTACAAATGCAGCAGCTGGAGTTGGGCCCACTGATCCTCACACCCCCAGGTTCAGTCTCTTTCTAAGACTGAGGAAGCAGCCACCAGGAGTCCATTGGGTCTGTGTGACACAGAATGGAGGCACTCTGTGAAACACATGTGTGGAGTGCTTGGGGTGCTTAGAGGCCTTAAGGTGACATTTGAGGCTGGACATTATACCACAGGAGACACCAGCCACTCAGCCAAGACAGCTCTCTAAAGACAACACTGCTGGTGGCTCCACAGCCAGAAACCAATTGCTGGTCATGCATCTGAGGCCACCCCTTGACCTCCCCACCATGTTCAGCTCAGTCCTCAGAGAGCACCCACAGGCTCCGACTGCCCACAGGGTGTTTAAAAGGCAACCTGGCTGGTGGAATGCCTAGCGGAGTGCTTGCCTAACATAGGTGAGGCCTGGGGTTCCACCACAAAAATAAGAATAAAAACAAATAAATGCAAGGCACCCCAAACTCAGCACATCATCCACCAGAGTCCTGACTTCCAACACTCCCACCCCATTTAAAAAAAAAAAAAAATCCCTGCTCCTCCCACAGGCAGCAAACCCCTCTACACAAACCTTACCCACCACCATCATTCCTGCCTGGACTGGGCCAAGGGTCTCCCAGCTGCTCTGTTTTGCTCCTTTTCCATCTGACCTTCTTGTAAAGCTCACGGAGATCTTTTGAAAAATTTAAGTTGGATAAAACCTTCCAGGCGCATTCATCCCATTCACAGTAGAGGCCAAGCCCCACCTGGCCTACAAAGCTACAGAGGACCTAGGCCTCATTTTCCTACCCAACCCCATCACCTGCACTCTGCCACACTGGCCCCATGGGCTCTCAGGGCCTTTGTACTTGCTGTTCTTCCTGCTTGCATGGATCTCCCTGACGTGCACACCACCCAATCTCTCTAGTCAAATGTTACTGTGTGAGGACTGCACAGACCACCCTGTACCAGACAGTGACAGTCCTGGGGGGGGCATTTCCTCTCAGGCCCTTGTCCATTGGACAGTCTTGTCCTAATGTGTTCCTCCGTGCCTCTTTAATGGAAAATGGCCCATTAGAACAGGTCTTCGTCACATACACTGAACTAGGCTAGGACCCTGCCTGGCTCATCCCCAGCAGGCATTCCATAAGAACCTGCAGAGACTGGGGGCATGGTCAGTGGTGGGTTCAAGTTCCGGCACCAAAAACCAGAAAAGACAGTGGGGTGTGGTGGTGGTGGTGGTGCATGCATGCAGGTAATCCTAGCACTAAGGCAGCTCGGACCAGATTGTGAGTTCAAAGCCAGCTTCAGCTACACAGTGAGACCATGGTGGGGGGGGCGGAGACAGAGAGAGAGAGAGAGAGAGAGAGAGAAAGCAAAAACATGAATGAAATTGTACACACCTACACTTGCCAGCCCTGGGTTCCTCTGCCTTAACACTCCCCCCTCCCTCTGTGTCCAAACACTTTCCTCTGTAATCCTCCCCCTTCTTTCCTTTGGAGGATCAGATGAGGATCGAATGACATCTCCTTTACAAGCCGCTGCCAATCCCTCTGCCACCAGACATCTCTGCCAAAGAGCCTCAAAAAGCTTGGTCTATGTGTCCTTGTCCCACCTCAGTCACCACACCAGGGCCTCCAGGGTGGAGCTCCTCTTTCCCATGTTTATCTAAATTGCTCTTCTCCAAATCCCGATGGCGTCTGGAGGGCATGTGATCATCTGTTGCTCCCCAAACCAGCCCGCACCCCTAATCAGGGATTTGGTCCCACAGAGGGTCCAGAGTCCCCTTCAGCTTCATCGCCAGAGGTAGTCCAGCACTGCAGGACGCCTCTGTTTTTAGGGACCCTGTAAAGAGAAGCATGTGTCCTTGGATTGAACTGAGATGAGAGGAGGTGCTTGATTCCCCCCCAAAAAAATCCATCCATAATCGATCTCATTCATGTGTACTGCCATCCAGGCGATAGCTCCCAGCCACTCACCTCCTCTCCGGGTCCAAACCGCCCACTGAGGGCTGTGGGCGCCTGCCCTTCCCCTCCCCCTCCAGCACCTCCTCAAGGCTCTTTGTCATCCCGGTCCCTGGAGTGCCTATGCTCTCAGCACCGGGACCTTTCCCGTCCAGCTGGCTCCGCGCCACCGCTCTCGCCTCCCCCCCCCGCCGACCCGGTCCTGGCGACTCGGGTCCCCGACCCCTTGGGTCTCCCCATTCCAGTCCCCCCCCACGCCCGCCCTCCTCCCATCTCGGCCTCCCCGGCCTGCCTGGTGCATCCGGGCGGCGCAGCCCTCGGGCAGACGCAGCACCAGACCCCGCCAGCCCCGGACGGCGACACTCACCCGCGCCGGGCGCGCCGGGCCCGGGCCCCGGGCTCCGCCACCAGCGCAGCAGCGCCCGCGCGGGCTCCAGGCTCACGGCGCAGCGCTGCTGCTTCACCCACAGCACGGAGCGCAGCGGCTCCGCCGCCCCCATCGCCCCCATGGCCGCGTCCGCCCGGCGGGGGGCGCGCGGACGCCGGGGGACGCGGGACCGTTAGCGGCCCCGGCAGCTGGCCCGGTCGGCGGCGGCGCGGGGAGGCGGGAGCGGGAGGCGGCGCTGCGTCACCCCGTACGCAGGGCGGCAGGGACCCGGGGGAGCCGGAGAGGGAGGAACGAGGAGGGGGATGGTTGCGAGGCCGGGGGGCGGCTAGTGCCTGGGCCGGGGAGGGAGCGTGGGCGGGAGGATCGAAGAAGAGGCAGGAGGGGACTGAGAAGGGGGACAAAGGAGAGGGCCGGGTGTTTGGGGTGGGGGGACAGAGGAAGGGGCAAAGGGCTCGAGGGAGGGCTGAGGTGGGGAGTAGAGGAAAGGGCCTGAGCCGGAAAGAGGGGGTCAGAGGAGGGGTCCGGGGAGGGGGCCTGGGCCGGCCAGAGCGGCCCAGTGAGCCGCGCGCCGAGGCTGCGGGTGCCCTCCAGCTGGGTGCCCGGGTCCAGCGCTCGCGGCCCGCAGGGGAGGGGCGCAGTGACAGGCCAGGTCACCGCGGCGCAGAAATGCTGGGCCCAGCGGTTGTGCGCAGGCCGCGGGAGGCAGGCGGCCTGGCGGTGGGCGCCCACGGGAGGCGTGACCTTGGGCGTAGGTCTCCTATTGGGATCCCTCTCCTGTAGCTGGGGAGAACCCTGCCGGTTGGCCCGGGCAGGCAGGAGAGAGTCGCTGAAGGAAGAGGTGTCCTTCAGGACAGAGTATCTGGGTTTGTGGAGGGCTTGAGGGGCCTGCAGCCACCAGGGAGACAGAGGAGGGGTGTCAGACACCAGACCCCTTCCCTCCGTGGAATATGAGTTGCTGTGCGTTTGCAGAGGCCCCAGATTCTTCTTCCTGAACACCTTCCAGCTGAACATCTCTTCCTCAGGGAGGTCTCCCTGACCTCCCAGCCAAAGGGACTCCCCAACACTAGACACAAGGATTCAGCCCTACCCTCAAAGTATGTCCACCCCACTCTAGACAAATTCCATGGCACTTGGTTGTTCATCACTGGCTCCCCAGGGTCTAAAACATTCCTTGAACATAGTAAGCATTCAAATGTTGCTTAACTGGACACTTCTATCCCTAGCTTATGAGTGCAGAGTCTGCAACTCAGAAAGACTGAGTAACTTGTATAAGAGCACAAGGCTCCTACATGAACAGCCAAGACTCATGACAGGGTTTGACTTCACAATGGCTGGAGAGCCACCTGCCCCGCTCCAAGCTCTCCCTGTCCAACCCTACTGCTGCAGACTGACATAGGACTGGTCAGGTCCATGTGGCCTTGCTGCTGTGCCTGGCACTGGATGGCTAATGTACAGGTCTGATCTTGCCAGCTCCCTGTGACTGTCAATGGCAGAAACAGCTATGAATCACTGCTCCCTTGGAGCCCAGCCCTGGCCCAGGCTCCTGCAACTTGGATTGAGCCAGGCAGCGTCTTAGCCCCTCCCTTGGGCAAGTTGGATCTGATCAAGCACAGTGGGTGGATGCAGCAAGCCTGCTCTGCTTCCCTGCCCACACCCACACCCCCCACACACACACACTGGGGCTTGGGGAATGTGGACTTGAAACTTCTTTGGAAATTCCATGTTATCTTGAGGTGAGTGCTGTTGTCACCACACCTGTTGCCAAGAAAGGGCAGTGTGGGCTGGGCCTCAGAATGCCAGCCTCCCTGCTGGAGGCCTCTTCCTCTGGACTCCCTGCTGTCAGGGTCCTTCTGTCCTTCCATGTTTGTGTCCTACAGATGCCCCACCTTGGCCATAGAATACTGTAGCCAGATGGTGCCCCAGAGGGGACTCAGTGCTGCCCAGCTCTCAGGGAGCTTCCTGCAGGGAGCCAGCCACATCTGTCACAAAACATTAGTAGGTTCATGGGTGCCATGCTGGCATGAGGAACCTAAGGAAGGACCCACTCTTCTTCACCCAGTGGACTCACAGCCCAGTGGTGAGGCCCAGGGTCTCTCAGTGGCTGCTATGAGCCTAACAACATCCTCCCAAAATTCACATGTGAAGCCCTAAGTCCCACAACCTCAGAAAGTGGCTTCTTTAGAGACAGAGCCTTTAAGGAGGTGATTGAGGCCATTAGGGTGGGTCCTAATCCTGCTAGACTGGGTCCTTATCAGATGCAAAAATTTGAACACATAGACAACAGAACCTGTGTACACAGGGGATGACCCTGTGAAGAAGCAAGAGAGTGGCTATCTGCAAGCCTCAGGGGACACTAACCCTTCTGTCATCTTGGTCTTTGACTTCCAGTCTCTGTGAACTAGAACCAGGAAGCAAGGCCAACTGAGCAACTATGGCAGTGCTGACTGACTAGCCGTGGGTGCCTGATGTCTGGAACTGGCTGGGGAGGGGTCTGACCAGCACAGGATCCTGAGCTTCTGCCCTAATGAGGGCCACATTCCCAAAGGACACAGCTCCTGCAGTCCAGGTGGAAAGTGTTGGAATGGTCAGGCCCTCAAGGCTATGATGGAAGGAAGGAAGGAGCTATCCTGAGTGGCTGCCAGCCCCTGTCCTAAGTCGGGTCCCTCAGGGCCCATTAGGAGCTGGGTGTGAAGACAGCTGGCAGACCAGCCAAGAGAGCGATGGAAACACCCACATGGACTGGGTCTGCCTGGGACGCCTGCCTCTCTGTTGGGATGTGCTCCCAGCTCTCTCTCCCCACCCCCATCATGGCCTCCCAGCCACCTGGCTCACTTCTTCCCTGGCAGAGATACCTTTCCCATGCTGGGTTCTGACCAAAATACACTTCCCACACATCTGTCTGTGTCTGCCACCTGCCTCAACCCCACCCCCTTCTTCATGCTGCAGAGGCCCCTGGCAGCTCATTTGTATCCTAGCTGCCCACAGCACCTCACCTTCACCTGTGTCCCTGCAGCACAATGGGTGCCCCAGCCTGCCACTGGCTTGGTGTGTGCACAGCTGGCCCAGCTACAGAGGTGCCCTGAACTGCCAGGTCCGTCAGTTACACAGGCTCAGCCCCAGCAGCCTCAATGTGTCAGGCCTTGCACTCTCACCTGCCCCCTGTCATGTACGCAGTGTACAGTCTGAAGCTTTTGGCTTGTGCCTTGTTGCTCTGGGGCATGAAAAGCTGGACATCTGTTGAGCCATGGCTACTGCCCTCTCCCCGAGATTCAGATTCTCTCACACATGAGCTGCTTGAACTCTGAGGTCCTATCCTCAGAGGCCCACATTGTCACCTACTGCCCACCAGTATCCCACCCATCGGGTCATCCATGCTAGAGATCGCTGGCCACCAGCAGCACCTTCCAATACCGTCCCTTCCCTGGTCTCTGACCTACACTCCCTCTCTCCTCTTGGAGCCCCTTGCCCTTGTTTACAGACGTCCTGCCTGCTTATCTCCCCAGGCTGCTTCCCTGATGAAGTCAGCAAGACATCTGAAACTAGAATACTATTGGGTGGGGCTGGGAGGACCCAGCCATCCCACACTGGCTGCCAGGAATGCTGTCCTCTGCCCTCCTCCTTCTAGGAGAGGCCTTCCAAGCACTGCCCATCAGAGTGGTCAAAGCTGACTGCCTGGAAGAAATGTCCAGGCTTAGAGAGGCCCCAGCTTTTGGAGAGAAGGTTGATAATTTACAAAATGCCCATCCCTGTCTGGACTCTGTGACCCAGACAATAACCGCTGGAAATTAGCACTAATTACTCTGTTTTACAGATGGGACTCACAAATCTAAACTGACCTGCTCAAGTCAGACAGAAAGGAAATAGATGGGTGGGCACTCCAGGTCCTCTTGCCCCCAGGCTGAGGGTGTTGTAGTCTTGATCAATCCCCTCACCCCCATCAGAAGACTCCTAGATTCTTTGTGTTCAGCTTGGAGGAATCCAGGCAGAACACCTCAAAGTAAGGGAGGGAATAAAGTTTATTGAATGTAAGGGGAAGGCATCACAAAAAGCAGTAGTGGCCCCACCTGGCCAGATGGGGCCAGATGGTAGAATAAAAAAGGAAGAGAGTGGCTCTCTGTTTCAAGGCCTTTTTAAATCACCAGTAATCTGTGGGTGGGGAAATATTTGGGGAGTCCCTGGGCTAGGGTGATGGATCACTCTGCATACACTTGGGTTAATCCTCAGGTACCATAACTTTGGGCAGATGGAAATTTCCATACCTTTTCGCCTAGCTCTGCACCTAGCAGAGGATTTGCATTGAAAAGGAGGCTCAGAAGTGAGGGTGTCTAATCTGAAATTCCTTAGGCTAAATTATATAGATTTAAGAGTCCCAATATTTCTACTTTCTATCCTGCCTCAAGGGGACAACCCATTCTGTCCTCCAAGGCAGGTGGGGCAGTCCTGCCTGAGCTGCTTCTGAAGCATCTGTGCTCCCATCCCTCTGGGAAAGCTGGGTTGGCCTGGACTGAAGTGCAGGATAGGTCTGAGCTGGAGCGGCCTGAGGTATAACCCCACATGGGGCCAGGAATCAGGGCTGCTCACACACCTAAGGAACCTGGTGAGCACCAGGCCCAGGGTGAGGGCCCCAAAGGCCAGGCTCAGGTTCCAGCTGAACCTTCAAGTTCTCTAGACTTGCCAGGGTGAGTGCCCTGGTTGGGCACAGGCAGGTTGCTTGCCCCTCTGCTAATAGCTCATGTAATCCTCAGGATGACAGCACCTTCCAGAAGAGGACACCGAACACTGCAAGTTTGGGGACAGACAAGAGTTACCAGAGGGCAACATATACAGCTGGGAAGAAACAGGACTGTTGTTCACTACTCTGCCAGCCTGTTGGCTACCATCTGGGGTCCTCTCCAGTTGGGGAGCATCCTGACAGCAGCCCCCTTAGGAAAAAAGCCAGGTTCTCTTGTGAACCCCTGGTAATGCAGGGAGGGCTCCCTGTTTGTCCCTGAGACTGGAGGAAAGATGGAGCTGTGTGGGTCCACAGTGCAGATGTTAAGAGGCAGAGGAGAGGAGACCAAAGGTGCTGGCAGGGGCGGCTCTGGGAAGGACAGAGTGTGTGCCTTTCCCCTCCAGGGCTTCAGTGAAGAGCCTGCTTGTCTGTGAAGCAATGGAGCCTTGACTTTTGGAGAAGCAGAACCTGCCACATGTTCAGTCT